ATGGTAAAAAGTTACCTGGACATAAACTATGTTGAAATTGTTACTAATCTACTACGTTTTAATAAAATAAATAACATTAAAACATATCATGAATCATCTTGCACTGTAAAGCCATTCACCATTTTTTTTCAAAGTTTAACCATGTGAACTTGTATTTGCCATTGCCATATAATTAAAACAGTACTAGTAGTAGAAGTCCTCCACTTGAAGCAATGCATATATTCCAAAGAAAAAGTTAAAAAGAGTTTTAAGTTATGTACACCTCCTTCCGTATAAAAAATTGTATCAGATAACTTATCTTATTTTCAAGATTATAAATCTCACATTTTTAAAAAACTTACTTATAAATATCCGTTGAATGACCTGATAGTGTGAAAATATGTTATATCGACGATGTATATAACTTTACAACTCAAAACAACGATATTGAAAAAACAAAAAGAAAAAGAGACAAAAGGAAAGCACACAAGCACTTATCTTTTAAAGGGGAATGTTCTCCACTAAGAAAATTTGTACTTTAAAAACCTTAGTCCTTGTCCATAATTTGATTCATTCAACACTTAAATTCACTTACTAGAGCCAAAATGCCTATCTCATCTTATCTTATCCATATTTTGCTTTGCATATTTCTCTTCCTTTTTAGCATTGGTAAGTCTCTAACATTATCTCATTTGCACTAATGTTCAGGTTCGATAGAACTCAGTAGCTTTGGTCAAAAACTCAAAATCCTATTTTTATGTCATGAAGTTTACTTAATATGTATATATAATTCATTTTTTTCATGTGACTTGCAGATGGAACACAAGTCATTCTAGTAAACAACTGCAAGGAGAGCATATGGCCCGGGATTCTCGGTGGTGCAGGGCAGAGTACACTAAAAGAAGGCGGTTTTCACCTCAGCACCGGTGAGCAAATGGTCCTCGACGTGCCTGATAAGTGGTCAGGGAGAATATGGGGGAGACAGAACTGTCATTTTGATGAAAATGGGAAAGGAAAATGTGATACTGGCAATTGTGGTGGTCAGTTACAATGCCGGGGGCTAGGAGGTGAGCCCCCGGCTACTGTAGTGGAAATGACACTAGGCTCATCGACTTCACCCTTACATTTCTACGATGTAAGTTTAGTCGATGGGTTCAACTTGCCAGTATCGATGAAACCTGTGGGAGGAGGGGTTGGATGTGGCGTAGCGCAGTGTGAAGCTGATTTAAACATATGTTGTCCATCAGCACTTGAAGTGAAATCTGGAGACAGAGTTGTTGGTTGTAAAAGTGCTTGTTTGGCTATACAATCACCAAAGTATTGTTGTACAGGACAATATGCAAATCCAAAAACTTGTAAGCCAACTGTTTTTGCTAATCTGTTTAAAGCTATTTGTCCAAAGGCTTATAGTTATGCATTTGATGATGCTTCAAGCCTTTATACATGTAGGGCTCCGCGATATCTCGTTACATTCTGTCCTCCAAAGTGACAAGTTATTTATGTAATTTCCCCACTATGTTGATGTGACACTTCAGAAATGTTGTTGCACCTGTATCTAGTCATCCAAAAACAAATAACTTTTGGAGGATTTGATATACATTCTATAAAGTATTTTTGAGAAGCAAACATATGTTTAGAAGAGTCACATCCCTCTTATTAAGGGCTACTTTCTTGTCTATTTTCTATTGTTGTTGTTATTTAGTTTTTATTGAAAAACGTAGTTTGAAACAATCATCTTTCATCAAATCAAGTATGTTTCAATAAGTCAAGAGAAGCTAGTCTTTTTTTAGCTCCTTCACCGTCCACGAGATCACAAATTCAATATTTTCAACGTGCAATACTGACTAGTACCAAATCATAACAAAATCAATCAAGTATGTTTCAATCGCGAATTAGTCGGGAGAAGTTATTTTATGTAGCTCATCCACCATTCATGAGATCATGAATTCAACATGTAATAAAGGCTAGTATCAAACCATGACAACATCTTAATAATCAGGACCAACTATATTATATAGCTCATCCATCGCCTGTGAGATCACCAATTCAACATGTAATGAAGACCAGTACCAAACCATAACAAAACTTTAAGCAATCAAATATGTCTCAAACCCAAATTAGTCAGGATCAGCTATATTATGTAGCTCATCCATCATCCGCGAGATCATGAATTCAATATTTAATAAAGACGTACCAAATCATAACAATGCCTTAAGCAATATAATCAAGTATGTCTCAATCCCAAATTAGTCAGGACCAACTATATTATGTAGCTCATCCATCATTTGTGAGATCATGAATTCAATATGTAATAAAAATGGAATCATAATAACATCTCAATCAATCAATCTCAATCCCAAATTAGTCAGGGCCAAATATGTTCTGTAGCTCATCCTCCATTCATGAGATCACGAATTCAACATGTTCAATATTTACAGTGACTAGTACCGAATCAAATATCAATATGGTTTCTTATATTCCAGTGAAGATTAATGTGTGTAGATGCGCATACTCAAAGTTAGAGTATTTACTTGTCAACTAAAATTAAATTTAAATGTTTAGTTATGTATTAAAAATGCTTATTTATTTCATTTGTAAAAAGCACTATTAGAATAATATTTTGAGTAAAAAGAAATTGATTCCTCACATCTCCGTTCTAATATATTACTAAAAATTTTAAAATTATAGCCTTAAACATAACTCTAATTTTATTATGACAATATGTTTTTTTTATATATAAAAAAACGAGAAAAGAGATTTATTTAGATGAATTAAAGAAACAAAACACATATTAAATTTTATAAAATTAAGTCTCCACTTCAACATTTTTAAATTAATCTTCGTCAATAAATCAAATCGCACCACTTTATAATACGACAAAACTGACCCACGGAATATTTGCAAGTTCAAAAATTAATAAAATCCCACACCACATGTTACTAGATGCTTAGTAGGTCCTCCAAAGTGGGGTGATCGTATACGGATTCATCAGAATTCAGTATATTTTTTATGTAAAAATAGTGTAATATGAAATTGATATGAATTTATTGTAATATATGTATATATTGACGTGAAATTGGTATAAATTTAATGTGAAATTTATCACAGTTGTATAAAATTAATGTTTCGATTGAAATTGATAAAATGGAATATTCCAACTTTTAGTATGCAATTTGTATGAATTTATTGTATTATGTATATGCATGGTATAAAATTGGATAAATTTGATATGAAGTTCGTCACAGTGGTATAAAATTGTTTTCTGACTAAATTTGGTATACTTTTAGTATGAAATTGGTATGTATTTGTTGTAAATATAAATACATTGACATGAAGTAGGAGTAAATATGATATATTTTTTTATGTTTTTTTTTTTAAAAAAGAAACTAAATTAAAAACGATATTAATTTCTAAAGCAACTAAAATTAGGAGATTTTAAATGTTCTACGGTAAAATTTTATAAATTTTTGGCAACTAAAAAAAAGGAAGAAAGAATCAAAATACGAAATTACTATTAATTAGGAGATTGATAACAACTAATAAGGAGAAAATCAAGATTACTATATCCTACCCTCTACTAAACACTAATATTGTTAATTAATTGATTAGAAGTTATTTTAATTCAATTATATATTATCATTAATATATTAATATATTTGTCATTTTCTTTTCTATTTTTTTTATTATTAAATTCAATAAGTGTTTTATTGTTGAAACTTAGAACCATAAACAATCATATCATAACTAATGATAAATAATCTGTTATATAAGTATTAATTATGAAATTTTTCTTTAAAAAAAATAATATAACTAAACAAACATATATATATATATATATTAATAAAATTACTTATCATAAGTCATAACTATAATTTCATATATGACTGTATTCTTATATAAAATTTAAAACATAATAAATTTTAACGCTAAATTCATAAAATTTTAAATTTTGAATCTATTTTATATAAACTCACTCAAACACACTGCTGAATGCAAGCTTCCAAATTTCCAGTGAAGTCACGTGAGTCATGTTCCCTGAAAAGGTAAAAGAACATTATTTATATCATTTGAAAAGGTTTTAACTTTTATATAATGATAATGTAAAATAATACTTCAATAAGTAATTTTTATGTGTAATTTATTTATGATTTAAATAATTTTTAAATGAAAAAAAACAACATGATTTTCACTAGTTTGAATGTGTGGTAGCTACTGGCTAGCTAGTTCTCTTGGTTCTCCATTAAAATAGTCAAACTTACGATCTACGAGATTTATTATCAGTGACTATCGCACAAAAATATAGACATGAAAAAAGGAGATGCATGAATATTTTAAGAAAATGTATAAAATTAATTAAGAAGTTTAAATGTTTGAGTAACAATAGGTTGAAAACGTGAGACATGTAGTTTATTAAAGATATTATTCTAAACAAGAAAATTTAAAAATCAAACATTACAATTACTATAATAGTTAGTTGAGCACAAATTAACATGTAAAAGGCATGGATGGATTGTTTAAAATTTTGTCCATTAATTATTTATGAATTTAACAAATCAAATGTAATTTCAACTTTTTAAGAGTCCTCTTAATGAAAATAACTAAAAGCAAAGATTTTTCACTAAAATATCATCATGAACCTAAATTTTATAAAAGATAGTAGTTGTATTAGTATTTTATTACAAAATTTAAAAAAATATTTTTTAACTGGATGAAAATAATAAATTTATTAAACACACAAAAAAGCTTATATTATCTTCCCTTTTTTTTTTTTAGAAAAAAAAAACATTCTTTACTATACTTAATTAACTAGGCATATCGCATAACTACATAAATTTTGATGTAATTGTTATATTTTTAATTAAAAATTTTATTTTTATATACAATTTATACGATATATAATTTGAATTTAATTAAACTTTTAGATTCGAATTCAAAATTAATCATATCTTAAATACATTTATTCTCAAAATAGGTTTGTCTTTTTAACCTAGTATATACAAAGAATAAAAAGGTATAAACAGCTCATCTTCTTTTTCTTTATCATTCTAAACAACTCTGGAATCTCAATTTTCAATCTATTTTCTATTGCTTCAAAATTGAATCTCTATTGTTTTCTACAATTTGTTTTTTTGTTTTTTTTTCAAATAAAATCACAAAGATATAGATATGGGTATGAAGCTTGATGAAGAATATGGAGCTGATAGATTATTGCAAATCGAAACTGACAATGAAGAGAATGAGGCACTTGATACGCTTAATGAAGACGACGATACTGGATCTGATATCTCTAATCACTCTGTTCATGCCCCTTTTCATAGCCAACTTGATTCTCCTACTTGGCCTCAGAGTTATAGGTATCATTTTTTTTTATTGAATTGCTAAGTTTTTTTTTCGTGCATGGAAAATAAATGAATAGTAATATCGCGTGGTTTAGTAGTTAATAAAGTGAAGGAGAATGTTAATTTTTTTTTTTGGTTATAGTTATCGGGGTGACTCAGTAGGTAATGAAGTGGATTGAGAAATTTGAGTCAAAAAAATTACAGGGGATTTAGTCGAAGTACATGCAAGCTGGCCGGACACAACGTAGTGATTTTGAAAGAATAGTCGAGATGCAAGAAAATTGATTCGAAGTTAAAAAAAAAAGGAATAGTAATATCGCTTGGCCTAGTGGTTAATAAAGTGGGAGAGAATGTATAATTTGTGGTAATAATGTTTTCGTGTGTTAAAGTATGAGTATAGTTTGGTGGTTATGAAGTGGATTGAGAATCGTGAGATCTCAGGTTCAAACTCAAGTAGAGACGGAAAATTTAGGTGATTTAGTCGAAGTGCATGTAAGCTGGCCTTAACACTGTCACTTTCTATCCCAAAAGATAGTTATCCCTCTAGTGGTGATTTTGAAGGAATAGTTGAGATTTTAAACAGTTAGATTATTAAGAAAAGGCAAAAATGTATAACTAAGAAGATGTTAAATGTGAGTGTTTAAATTCGTGTTGTTATTATGTATAGATATTCTGTTCTGACTACATCTTATTAATGTTAGTTGGGATTTGGTTCCAGGATATTATTATTGTTGTTGTTATTATTATTATAATTACTACTGTTGTCAGAGGTGCGCTTAAGCCCTGAAGCAATGCAAATAACATGTTGAGCACTTTGCCTTGCTTTATGGGCGTTTTAGTGTTGTCATCAACGCTCTAAAGCTTCTTTTCCCTGCCAATGATTGCAATCCTTAAAGTGTGGCACTAAACAATTGATATTTTGTTCTTATCATAATTTTTTCAAAGGAAGCTGCTAACTTAAAGTATCCCCTGATCCAAGTGTGTGCTATAATCTTTTATCATATAAACCTTCAGGGTAGTGTGTCTGCAGACCTTACCCTTGCCTAGGAAGGTAGAGAGGTTGTTTCCTATAGACCCTCAGCTCAAGGAAATACTACCATCATGATCAAATATAACTGCATTTTGTTACTTCTTGTAAATTGACTTGAAATTTGTACAATTTTTCATCCAAATGAAGAGTACTCAATCTTTTATTGAATATATAGGAGGTCTATGGACGTGTTCACAGGGGTGACCCCTCCATCATTGAGTTTTTTAAAGGGAAGCTCCATATTGAGTTCAGCATACATGAGGTCTCAAACTCTGACACCTGAACATTCCCTCAGTAAACCTTTCATTTCTTCTCCGAGCCTTGACAGGGAAGAAATCCCAACTTCGAATCCTTCAAAGCTATCGATCGTTTCTTCAGCAAGATATTCAGCACCAGAATTGCCACCATCACAGCAATGTTCATATGCTCAATCAGTTCTTAATGGTAAGACACGGATGTTATCTTGTTGTTTATATGGTGATGGCTTATTGTTCTATTGTTAGGGTAGCCTAACTTTGGTCCTGCAAATTTGTCATCATAAAATTTATGTCTAAAGACTGTCCACTTTCTGTTGCACTTTTTGATCATGTGCACCATCTGAAAATGATGCTAGAACATCTTTGATCGCATACAGAAAAAGGTTTAGATATTAGACATGTCTTTATATTCCTGGAGCTATATTGTTCATGTACTGTTGTTCTAAAGGTACTAAGTTCTGAATTTACATCAATGTTTATCCTGGAAGTCCAGTTATTTGGTTAAATATCAGTAGATTGGTACCCGAATATGTTCTGCTTGTTTTTCCTTGCTATATATGTTTCGAGTACTTAAGCCTCTCATCTCTATTCTCCTGTTTGTTTGCTTTAACGTGGATTGATTTTTCAATGCAGCGATAAATGCTCTGTGTGGAATAGGGATCCTTTCGGTTCCTTATGCACTCAAAGAAGGGGGGTGGTGTAGCCTTTTCCTTCTGTTTCTTTTTGGAATCATTACTTTTTATACTGGAACTCTTCTGAAAAAATGTTTAGAAAGCTCTCCTGGTATTGAAACCTATCCAGATATCGGACAAGCTGCCTTTGGATTGTCTGGTCGAATATTTATAGCTGTGAGTATGACAAATTATTGATGACATATATACTAATGCTTTTTCAATTTGTAGAACAAGAGTTTCGTTTAGTTGCTAATTTTGGATTTTCATTAAATGCAGATAGCCTTGTACGCCGAACTATATGTAAGTATCTAATTCTCACTCTCTGCTTCATACTGCTGTGTGTAGCCCTTAACTTGGAACTATTTTTCCTTTTTACAGTCCTCTTGCATAGAGTATTTGATTATGATGAGTGATAACCTTGGCGCCCTATTCCCGAATAGTCACATGGAGTTTGCTGGAATTCATCTGAATTCTTATCAAATATGTGCTATTATTTCTACCCTTATCATACTTCCAACCGTTTGGCTTAGAAATCTCCGTTTGCTGTCTATCGTTTCAGGTATTGGATACTTACCTCAAAATGTCTTGAATTAGTTCATAGTTGTTCTATTTGTGCTAATGTGTGTTGAATTGTGATTCTTTTAACTCAGCCGGTGGAGTGATTGCACTGATTGTCGTGGTGATCTGTTTGCTATGGGTCGGGGTGGTTGATGATGTTGGATTTCACCCAAGTGGAACGGCTATTAACATTGCAAGGTTACCTGTCACGATTGGTCTTTATAGTTTCTGCTATGGAAGCCATTCAGTTTTCCCAAATATCTACTCATCAATGAAAGAACCTTCAAAATTCCCATCTGTTCTTCTTATAAGGTAAATTTAAATGAATTAGGCACTTAATGTGATCAATCAAAATGTACATCTGCAAGTTGAAGGTTTAAGATTTAACTTGTGTTGGTTCATACTGATGCAGCTTCAGCGTTGCCTTTTTTTCATACCTCGGAGCAGCGGTTTGTGGTTTTTTAATGTTTGGTGAAAACACCAATCCACAGTTCACTTTAAATTTGCCAACAGAACTTGTTACTTCAAAAGTTGCAGCTTGGACAGTGGTAAGAATAATATTAGCTGCTTTAGCCTATGCTTTTCTCATAAAAGACTGAATTTGTTTCTCCTGTTCTACGTTGGATGACTACTGAAAATCTAAATATAAATAATGTTTTTTTTTTTGCAGGTCATAGCCCCTCTCACAAAATACGCGATAACACTTACACCAGTAGCTTTTGGCATAGAAGAATTCCTACCTTCGCCTCAGCTTAGAACTTATGTTGTATCCTTACTCATCAGAACACTTTTGGTGTTTTCAACTCTGGTCATTGCATTGGCAGTTCCATATTTTGGTACGTATTTTCATATAACATTTGCATTGTACTGATATACACGAGTACAAAAGGAGGAAACTGCTACAACTTAGTAACCTGTTTACAAACTAAGATATTTCATTATGAAACTTAACTGCAGGTTCTGTAATGTCATTGATTGGGTCTTCACTAGTAATGCTTGTGGTAAGTTTAGCAAAATTGTTTCGCTTTACTCTTAACGTGAAAAGCTAATTTCCTCTTCATAACATGATTTTTTTTCTTTTGCTTGTTTGTTTCAGTCTTTAATCCTTCCTTGTGTATGCTACATCCAACTAAGTAAAGATCAAATCACGCGATTTCAGGTTCATTTTTTAGTTGAAAAAAAATCCCCCCCCCCCTCCCTCCCCTCCCTCCGCGCTAATGTAAAAGTAATTTTGTTTCGCTCTTGTATTATTCAGCTTGCAGCTTGCAGTTTCATTATAGTGGTGGGACTGATTTCAGCTGTATTTGGCACATATTCTGCACTTACAAACATGGTCTAGTTTGAAGATGGAAGACTCGGTCTCGTTATTGAAAGAGTGAATAGAGATATCTCTCTTCTGATTCAAAATCGTAGTTCTGGGAGTTGGGTTCTTGTACACTATGCACACAGTGGTAAACAGAAAAACCAGAGTACACCAATTTTGTAGAATTGATTGAGTGATTATGAAATCGTAGTTGTAATTAGCAAGAATTGAGATCTCGATTTATTATTTTAACTCTTAATGTTGGTTTTTTAAAACCCTTTCTACTGTACCTAATCATTGTAACAGTGGTTTATTACATTGTTACCTCATGATTTAGCAATTAATTAGACCAGCAATTTGTTATCACCCTGGGTATTTATCTATATCTATTTTTATCTAGTGTTTCTGATATACTAGTCGTATAATCACTAATTTGGTCGAACTTATGGGTAAACAAAGTGAATTTTGATAGGTAATTAGAGCAATTTCGATCAAAGTTTAGATATATTTACGACCTTTTAACCTCAATTTGATGTACACAAATTTTGAACTTCTTCCGTTCTCTTTAAACTATACTATAATATATTCATCACCTAACCAACCTAGCTAGCACCCCTATATATACATCAACCTTAATAGCTATCTTTCATCCAACTACAATATAGAATTTAATTAAAACAATTAAGAAGACATCAAATTAAATTGATGAGTGTATCAAAAATCTTTTAGCAAATATGTTTATTTAGTATGCTATGCACTAATTTGCGATAAGTTGTTACGATTTTCTTTTAATTACTGTTTTGTTTTGCTTGAGCTGAGGATCTTTGAAAAACTATCTCTCTATACCTCATAGAAATAGAAGTAAGGTTTGTGCACACTATCCTCCCCAGACTCCACTTTGTAAGATTGCACTGAATTTGTCATTATTGTATAGTTTAATTTTATTTCTTAAAAAATCAAAGAATCCAATTTTTTGAAAAATTTATTATTGTAGATTACAATGCAAAATGTGACAAGATTGTGTCATACAAAGAGCATAGGGCTTCCAATTGTGACAGGGGCCAACAATATTACCCTTCATTGGTATAATTATTTGGACCATATTACATTAAATAGGCTAATTTATGCCTTTTTTGGGTGGTCATTTAGATTTTGTCCAATACTTTTAAAATTTGTGTAAATATAGTCCTTAGGACACACAAAATAATGATCTAACGTTTTCTCATAAGATTTGTAATTTGCTCAAATAAAATCTTCAAACCATGGTCTAATAAAAGATTCATATAAATTAAATAAAAAGACGATCATTTACTAAACAACTGTCTCAAAAAGGGACAAAATCTCATAATCCATTTACGTACATCCTTTCTATATGATCATTTAACTTAAATATATCAACATTTTAATATCTTGTACAAAATTAGTAGTGTATTTCAACCTATTATAACATACTAAACTTCCTTATTTTCCATATAACTAATCATACTTGTTTAGAATAATTTATCTTGTTATTCTTTAGGGGTTTTCTCGTAGATATCCTACATTTTTCACCCCACTCACCTAGAAGAATCAATAGTGTTTCCACTTATCCTTCGGCATGACTCGAATCCTTAATATATCGGTTGATGTTGGTGGGGGTGTTCAACCACTTGAGCAAACCTCACTTGATAGTAAATTTCCTTTGAATAACCTATTTTATTTTCAAGATTACAAATTTCAAAATTTAAGGAAATTTTTCTTGTAAATATCCTCCTTTTTACCCCACCTTCACGAGGGTCAATAATATTCTCACTTATCTTTCAGCATGACTCAAACTCTCAATCTAGCGATTGATGGTTGAGATGCTCAACCACTCAAGTAAACTTCACTTGAATGTAAATATCATTTAAATGGCTTGATGACTAATAGTATAATTTTGTTCACATTGGTTGTGTCTATATAACTTAAATCGTTAGCAATTTTGTTTATTCTAGTTGTGTATATATAACTTGAATCGTTAGCATAAGGAACTTTTTACACTATCATCATGTCATGATTTCATCGGTTATAATAGGTAACGTGTCTTTTTTTAAGATTATATTCTATTATCAGTTGTCACAGATAACTTATTTTATTTTCAAGATTAGAAATCTCACATTTTTTAGGACAGATTAAAAAAAAAATGTGTCACATAAACGATAACAAACATAAAAGATGACACATAACTAACCATATATAATTATTATACTGGAAAGGGCAGACAGAAATGGCCTGAATTAATTGGGAAAAATAATTTATATCGTTAGCCAAGTGATAGATATATAGAAAAAAAAATTAATTTGTTATTTGGCTAATGATAATATTGTTTCGAAGAATTTATGAAAAATGGCAGCAAAATTGGTTGGTCGGTCGTAGTTGGTGGGAGAAAAATGTTGGGATTAGACTCAATTCGAAGCATATATTTTTTTTTATTTGAACTATTATTGTTTATATATTAAAACACATTTTGTAATTGATTAAGTTAATTATGATTTTTTTAAAAAAATATTATCATTATTTATTTAATTAGATGTGTTTTAATACATAGATAATGATGGCTAGAGTAGGAAAAAACATAACTGATAATTTAATGTGAAATTTGTAAAATAATAACGATTTAAATATATTTTTAATTAATAATTTCTAGCACTCACCAGAAAAACTGAGATAATATCACCTTTCAATCAAATTAAATTAAATAAGATACATAAAATTGAAATATATTATGAAACTTTGGTTTGAAGAAATTAATATATTAAAAAATGATGGAATTAGTTGGTAGTAATAAAATACTTCACAAATTCGCATTGTTTTAGGTGGACAAAAGTGTTAAGACCAACCGGACATTATTTTTCTGATAATAAAAGAAACTTCATGAACCCAAACTCCAAACAAGCCCTTACTTGTATTCCTCTAGATCCAAACCCCACCGTTAAATTCTCGCCGGCGGTCATCCTTCCGACGTCGGGAAATGAAACGTGGAAGCGGATTCTCGTTCCACGTCACCGTCGTCATAGCCGCCATTGCATTCATATACTTCTCAACGGTGTTCGTCTTCATTGATCAGTGGTTCGGGCTTTGGTCGTCCCCTGGAATGCTTAACGCCGTCTTCTTCACCGTCGTTGCTGTTATGTGCATTTCCAATTATGCCCTTGCCATCTACACCGATCCGGGTCAGGTCCCTAGCTCATTTGTACCCGACGTAGAAGACCCTGATAATATTGTTCATGAGATCAAACGCAAGGTTTTTGCATTTCTTTCTTTTACTTTTTTTAATTTGAATTTTAAATTATTAGCTTGTGTTTTCCATTTCTGCCATTTTTTTGCTTTATTTCTATACATATAAGTGTATATATTACTTCAATGTGTATTTATTTTCCACATTTTTGTTTGGATTAGGGAAAACAAGTAGGATAAATATGGTACTAATATAGCGTATAAGATTTTGCTTAGTGATAATTTCTTGTATGAAAGAAAATCTTTTTAGTGGTGTATGTCATATTTAGTGATTTTTGGAAAGGAAAATGACTACATGATGATAATTTACATATCAGACTATTGCGGTACTGCCTGAATAGAACCTTATTTTGAATTTAGTGACTGCCTCTTCTTGAAATTGGAAAATGTTTTCCTCCATATGAAGCACGCCCTTAAAGGAAACATTTTTAACTGTTTCGAGCTAAGGAAACACCACATCAATGGAGTTGTGACATGTAAGAACCTAACTACTTCAGTGATTGGAAAACATGGGGAAACATAAGCATGTTGTTGAAAAATCTTGCTGAACATGTGCTTTCTGTAGCATATGCTAAGTGAAGGAAAGACATGACTTTGGTGTACTAGTTTGTTGCTAAATCTTAATGTTGCGGAGAGAAAATCCCCAAGTATTGGAGTTTCATTATTGAGTCAGGAATGGATAATTGACTTGAAAAGATATGGAGTTAGAGGTAATTACAAGAAGCAGCATACTCTAGAAGTGTGTCAAAAGTCATAAACATGCCTACTGTACATCCAATATTAGTGCTATTTATAAATCAAAAGAAAGGATGTTTCTGCTCTGCTAAACATCTTTTACTTTTGGTGGTTCTCTTAATACTTTTCAGTCCATTTATTGGTGGTTTCCCATCTTTCTTAAATCATGGAACTGAATTCCTTTTTTCGGATGACATTTGAATGAAAAATGTGACTGCTGCAAAAATCGCATGCACGTCGTTTCTTGATACTTCAGTTTGCAAGTTATACCATCTATAGAGTACTGCTTTAACTCTTTGTGAAATTTCCAGTAAATGCTATTTCTCATTGCATGATTGCTACTTTTATTGTTAGTTTCACCTATCGTGTTGTTTATCCGCCGAACGAAATAGTTACTTTTCTTATAACTTTAAACTTCTCTTTTCTTTAGAAAGTAAGGTATTATTCTGAAGCTTACAATGTCCAAGCATGAACATATAAAGTTAAAATCTCCCTATCTATTTTGGAGGAATTCTGTTACGTTTAAGATAGATTCTGCCTTATTAGAAGTTCTTGTTACACCAAAAGGCAAGCAAAACCATACAGTTTCATTTTATCTTCTGAATTGAGTTAGTTCAGGCTTCAAAACATCTCATATTTCTCTCCTCACAAACTTTCCACCATATACAGTAGCAACGGGATTCTAGACTTTGCATATGCTTTGTTTGAGAATAGCTAGAAAAGTAGTTGATTTTGTACATGAGGCTGTGAATACTTAAAGTTTAAACTAACACTGATATTTGGTATTCTAATAATTAATTATGTTCTAATCATGAATAGAAGAGAAGTGGTTAATTGATTCTCTAAATATAACAGTTTTGATGACTATTCTCAATGAAGTTTAAGGACCTGATAGTTCATCAACGTTTCTAACATCTGGTAATCTCATATATTATACAGAATCCCTATAATAATGTTATCAGAATATAAACGTATATGCATAACCAATATTTCTTTTGAGCAATATTTAGTATTGCTAATTACATATTATGATTTTATTGACCAGATAACATGAAACTAAATTACATATTCTATTAACTGAGATTGATATTTTACTTGAGTTTCATTTTTGAAACAAAAAGTTGCAATGAAGCTGTCATTAATGGCTGTAAAGTAGTAATACTACACTTTTTTTTTTTCGTTCTCAAAAAATAAAGTTTGTGTTTAAACTTGGTGGATGTAATTTTGTTCTATGAATTATTCTACAGGGTGGAGATTTGAGATACTGCCAGAAGTGCTCCCTTTATAAGCCTCCACGTGCACATCATTGTCGTATATGTAACAAATGTGTACTACGAATGGTATTCCTAGCCTATATTTCATCTATGTTTTATCTTGATGTACTGTATATTAAATTAAAAGTGTTTCATTTGGATATAAGGATCATCATTGCGTGTGGATGAATAATTGTGTGGGCCATGCGAACTACAAGATCTTCTTCATCTTTGTTATGTATGCTGTTGTTTCTTGCATATATTCCCTGGTAAGTTTGCATTTGGCACTCTCTGTACTGCATAATATCTTTTGGATACACTTTCTCAAAAAAAAGAAAAAATATCTTCGGATGCTATGACTGTCTTTTGTTTCTCAAGTATGCTCCATCTTCTTATTGCAGACATCTATTAATTCAATTGTTGTTATTATGTATATATATATATGGCTGATCAAGCATAAATTGGGATTTTTTTTCTACCCTCAACATTTAACAAGTCTTATTTTCATATATTCAGGTTTTGCTTGCTGGTAGCATAACCATAAACTCTCCAAAGGATGACCAGCAAAGTGAAGGCTCTTTCAGAGTTGTATATGTAATTTCTGATGAAAATTTCATGTTCTTTAGTAACTTTTCATTTGTCAGTTTGCTCAAGATTTATTCCTGTTGATAGATTATCTCAGGGCTTATACTAGTCCCTCTAAGTTTGGCGCTGGGCTTTTTCCTGTGTTGGCATTTTTACCTGATTTTGCAAAACAAAACAACAATTGAGGTTTGTCAACTGTAATATCATATTTTTTTCAATTCTTTTCGTGGCATATTATGTGTACAAGCACTAAGAAGGTTTTTCATGCTCTCCAGTACCAAGAAGGTGTTAGAGCGATGTGCGTTGCTGAAAAGGGAGGTTATGTCTATTCACATCCATATGATCTTGGTGCATATGAGAATTTGATAGCAGTATGACATTATCCCTCTTGCTTTCTCCTCCCAGTGTTTCTTTTCCTTGCTTTAGCGATATCCTTCAGCTTTCTCTTTTTTTTTTGAAGAAATTATTGTTATTTTTCTGTTACTTTATGTAACTTTCTTGTCTTACTATTGAATATCTGTTGAAACACATGTGGCTTATCACACTTGTTACCTGTTTATATCAACGTTTGAATTAGTTTTCCTTTACAATGCAGGTTCTTGGTCCAAATGTCCTTTGCTGGCTGTTGCCCTCCACAAAACATATAGACTCTGGCCTTCGTTTTCGGACATCATTTGATAACGTACCGAGGACACCTGTATCAAAATGAAATGTTTCTTCTTACAGCAGAGATGTAAAGTGTTTGATCACCAAAGCATTTTGGTGCAGTTGTGTAAGTGTAACTAGCTCCACTCTTCGTGTAAAGGAGCTAACAAGAACCCTGTTTCAAACTGCCAAACGATACAACACGGAGGCAGTCATCAACTTTTTTGTATTCTAACAGTTGTAAGAGATGTTCAGTCCTCCATCGGCAATCGCACTGTAGTCGAAGGTAACTAGAGAATTGAAGCAGTTGGACATAGCATACTAGCATTGTTCATAGTTTTGGGTTATTTACGTGATGTACAAATAGAAGTCCCCTTTTCAAGCTAACTTAGAGAATCCTGCTGTAGCTCAAATGGTTGTAAATTGTAATATATGCAAATTGCAACTACAAAATGAGTTAATGTTACCTGTAATGTTTAATTTTTTTACAAGTTTTGTAGACAGACAGTTCATTACTATTTTATTCTACCTTGTTAAATTCTTGAATGTTTCACTTGTTCACAAGTTCTGCTACACGGACAAAATGTATTACATTCATTCTAGCCACTTGTTATATTGTTTATCACAAGTTCTGTGAATGCATAAATTTTCATATTTCAACTTCAAATTCAAAATTTGTGTTCGAGAATTGTGGTGTCACAATAGAGTTCTTTCAAGTTCATTTCTTAATATTTTTTATAACGAGCTTATAGGCAAGTTCTGCTTTTTTTTCTGGCTATCGAGAAAATTATGTTGGGCTCATCACTTTTGAATGGGTCCACTAATACACTATTTGTGTCAGGAGCTTTATCCGTGAATCTAAGCAATTAGATTTCGTGTTGTGGAGAAAATTATGTTGGGAACGTCACTCTTGAATGGGCGCGTTATGACATTCAGATTTCGTGTTGGGAGTATCATTCCTGAATAGATTTTACACTAATATTCAGATTTAATTGGGCTTCAACGCGGGGGCGCGAAAACAAAAAGTGTATTTTTCCAATCTTTTAACAAATTATTGTTTAATCACCATTCAATCTTCCTCTCATCCATCAATGGCGCTTGCTTTCTACAGCTACTCCCCCTGTAAACCCTCTTCTTCAACAAATTCCAGTTTCACTAGTTCGTCATTATACACGAAGCAGCAGTCAAAGCTTCTCTTTCCTCTGAGAGAAGTAGTTTCATTTTCCACAAACTACATCTCTTACCTTTTCAATTCTCAACTAACCATAACTAATAAGCTTTCCTCGTCTTTTTTTCTTGTAGAAATTCAGGCAGCAGAGTCGAAGCTTATGTATCGTTAGCGGGTCGGGTTCTGATGAGAGCAACTCTCAAGGTATGTGGCTCGAAAGCGAGCTAAAGTTTTGAATTTCGAAAATAATTGATAAGTTATTCATACTTGTTCGTCGATTTTAAAAGAAGGGAAAAATAAAAATTAACCTAAATAGGCCATCCAATACGGATTAAACTAAAAATAGTTGGCAATGTGTAATGTATGTATAATTCAGGTATAATATGTGTATGATAATGCATAGTATCTATCGACTCGAAAAATAAACAGTAAATCTGTCCAACTATTTGCGTAAAGATCCCATATTAAAAGTGATAAAATTCTTGTTTTTGGATATTATTAAGTTGAACTTGTGCGATTATATTGGGTATGTTGTTATTGTTGTAAGTGATCAAAAGTTTGTGTAAATGGCACATGTTAAGTATTTATTGGTTCAGTATAAACACCGGATGCAGGTACCTTTTTTTCTTTGGTAAAACTGAACAAGTGCACACACTGCTATGAGTTGGATCTTCAATTTATTCGCCAGGAAGGGAGATTCTGTTATAAAAGATAGTACCTTGGAGAATAGAATTTAGCTACACCATGTCAATGACACTAGCGTTACACCGAATAGCATAATTAGGCACATCCCCGGATTGAACCAGCTCTTTCAGTTACTAACCACGAGGAAAAGAAAATCCCAGCTTAGAAGAAGGTGAAGAAATAGAAAGTAGAGCTTGAAATCTATGTCATTGTGCACTATGTGCCATCTATATATAGGTGTTGCTCCAACGACTAGGTAGCGGCTAGTTTGTAACAGATAGTTAGACTATTTCAAGAGGAGACAAAATAATGAATGATAAGTAGAGAGAAATAGGACCGCTTCCTTATGAGTTGCCCACAATTTCCAATAGATTTTGGGTCTAAGAGGCTTTTTAAAATGTTGGGGTTGCATTTTTCTAAAATTTGGTACTTGCCTTTTGAATTCAGATGATGAAGTAGATAATTTGGGGGTCAAAGCTGCATTATCAATGCTCAAGTTCTATAAAAGTAAGTTGTGGATTTTGTTTTAGCTAAAATTTTGACACTTTTACTCTTCTGAGTCTGTTGAGCTGTTTTGAATTTCTCACTTTATGGTATAAAGACCGGCAGGACTGTGTAACAGTTGACTGTTAAGCAGGGGAAATCTCACCAATAATGCCAAAAAGTTGCCGCTATATACCAACATGTAGTGAATACTCCATGATTGCTTACAAGAAATATGGAGTTGTTAAAGGGACAGTTTTGACTGCCTGGCGTCTTTGTCGTTGTAATCCTCTAGGTAATGTTGTTCCACCAACCACTGTTTGCTTAAAGCTCTGAGGACATTCTGAAGCTTAGTGAAGTAAAATTTGACATGTTCTACTATTAGCTTCTAGCGAGATACTTCTACCTTTGTCTTGGAGTAAGACCTTAGTATGTCGCTCATACTATATTTTCAAACATGCCAGGAGGATCTGGTTTTGATCCCCCGAGATGGTTCGATGAGGAAAGTCCACCACAGGAATAACACCTAATACTCCATCAAACAGAAATACAGGTATCTGGGTTTTGATAATGTAAAACTTTGGTACTTTAAAAAGTATATAAGCATTGGTTATTGTATTCTGTAATGCAGGTCAAAGTAGTGTCCTTCTCTAGCTGATATAATATAGCTTGTTTTCTTCATGCAGTTATCTTCTAATAGGTTCTGCACAATCATGTGAGCAAAAAGACTGTTAACGATGAAGATTTGTATAGGATGCGAGTCTTTTGGTGTTCTTGGAGGAGCACAGTGGCAAGAATTTGGGCAGCAAAACTAAACCGAACCCACAGTAGATTGGAAGTAAACAATCAACACCAAAACTGCAGTAGACCACATTTGGAAGTTACTTCTCTACCTTGTTATGTTCAAGACTATCATATTCGCGATATTGCATTTGTCCCCCTTACCCTGTGATACTATCATTGCACTTTTAGCCCTACAATGTATCTGAATTGGCACATTTGATCCTATTTCACAAGGACCAGAAGTACAAAACTCATTTCTTTTGGCTGCATGTGTGCTTGAGGCAAGTATGAGGTAACCTAAAAAAGTCATTTTTGTTGTACCTAATATCTGCAGTAGACCTTAAAACTAGTATACTGTGAAGCCTCACAAGCTAATATCAACACTTGATTGAGTAGCTTCGTTTGTTCAGAATTGTTTCCCTACTTCTTTTGCGTAATCTCAAATTTGGAGAGTGGCCATTTTAGGTTAACTTAACGTTGAGTTGGACCACAAACAACAGTGATTGATCTTGTGTATAACCAGTGCTAAATGGAATGAACTTTGCCATGAAGTTTCTATTTGCTGCCCAAGTTACAAGCTAACACGAGAAAGTGTTAAATGTATTAGTCCCACTTCACAAAACCTTGACACCCTGCTGAATAACTTACTTAAACAAACTCAATTAACAGACTTAGAAATGATAAAATACGATTAAATTACCAGACAATTTTGACCCATCACAACATTTCATTTATAGGTTTAATGCTCTACGTATTGCAAGTAAAAGAGAAAACATCAAAATCCATACTTCAAGTGCAACCATATGTACAAAACATTTATCAATCTCAAGATAGATAAAATGTAGGAATTAGCTCCCTGGAAAAGAATGCAGACCTAATATAGGCCTAATACAGTAAAAGAGAAAAAAGGTACTCTGCAAAAAAAAAAAAAAAAAAAAACACAAGATACAGATAAGAGGAACAACTAATTATGCAGAAACTACTGAATCTTCATATTGCCAAGGATTGAATTCAGTCGTTTTAGCGTCAGCCTCTTCAACATGATCAGAACTGTCAATAGCAGCACGATGCTCATGATATTTGCCATTGTACTCATACACCTCCAACTCACCCCAAGGTGTGGGACAAATTTCATTAGATAAGTTGAACCATTTTGGTTTGAATTCGTCACCCTTGGCCTCTCTTGTTCTCCTGTCAGCTCTCTGCCTCTCCTCCAAACTGTATAAATATAACCAAATACAACAGCAAAAGGTAAGAGATTCAGACAATTGTGGCCGAATAGGAAAAACTTAACTATGCACTGAAGGAAGATGTGAGGCAGGAGAGGGTTTTTTATTTATTGTTCGACCAAAAACTATTTTCCCTATGAAAATAAAGAACTTCATGATGCAAGTTGAACTATTTGTTTAGTTGTGTAGTAACAACTATAACAGCCTGGTTTTTTCTTTTCTTTGTCCTCTTTCCTGTCCAAGTGCATTAATGAAGCTAGAAAGATCAAATTTTGTTTTGTTTTTTTAATTTGTTTGAAAATGTCTCTAGTTCAACAAGGAAATGAGATCCTTGGAGAAACCCTGAAAGCCCACACCAGAATGACAGCTGATACACCAACCGTAACAAACTGAATCGTCATCTTTTAACATCAAGACCATGGGCCGCCGTGGCTCACTACAAACAATAGACCCAGGAATTTATACAGGGGGGTTTTCAAAGACGTCACTTGGATTTGAGCCTATGACCTACACCAATTTATGAACCCCCCCCCCCCCCACACACACACATAATTAGAACTTCCCTTATGTCAAGGGGATTCAACAGCTTATATACACAATAATAAGAAAAAACTAGGTTTTACTCTTCTATTTAGATGAAGAGGATTCAATTGAACTACCTTTAAGCTTAGCTTCGCCCGGATTGCAAAGCAAGGCATATTAGGAGAAGTGGACTAGTGGAGTACTATTATTACGACAACAACTTCATGCCACAGAAAGGTCCAATGCTCTAAATTTGATATTTGAAATGCTTAAGTTCACGATGCACACAAAAGCAAAGAGAGTAACATGCAGATTGACATAAGGACAACTTAGAGAGAGAGAGATGCATACCGGCTCTTTTCTGAACTAGCTTTGGACACATCACCTATCTCAAGTGCGTAACGATCAGGGCGCAAGCGAGAATCAGATGCTAATAATTTCTTAGGCGCAGTATCAAAGCTATTAATCTTGTGTGCAAAATATGTATACTGAAATTTGTCGTTTTTAGGAGCTTCAGCAGCTTTCCAGACCTGAAACAAGCAAGAATGTGCCAAGTGCAAATTTGATTAAATTATAGTCTGCAATTTTCACTTGACCACCAATTATACACCATTTTAGATAAAAGATGACATCAAGCTTCATGCAACCTTATGAACCAGAATAATTGCACCATACCTTCAGATTAAAGAACCTCAAGAGCTCAATGTAAAATTAAAAATTATCCGAACTTCAATGATATGCATACATGTGAACATGCCTAGAGTAATTTGTCATCTATCCTAGCATAAAATTTGGAAATTGCAAACATTTGAGTAACGACGCATACTTTAACCTACCTAATGTTTGTCGGAGAAAATTCAAATACTATTGCAAGCTCAGGAATCTACATACTTCAAGTCATGACGAGGGGTTACGAAAAAGAAGCCAAAACAACAGAAAGATCTGGCTAGGGGTTACAATTATTAACAAAATTTCAGCTTAGAAAAATAAGGAAAAAGTAAAGTTGCATTGGATCAAAGGCGTTACAATTGAAGAAAGAAAGGTGAAATTCACCTCTTTAAGAGTGCTGCCAGCCATGGGCTCCCCTTCCAAATCACAGGGTTGATAACTTATAGATTCATTCCATTTTCCAGTCATCAAAATTTTGGGTTCTTCCTCACTGTTGTAAACATATCCATCAACTTCATAGCGACCAGCACTGCCGAAAACATGATAGTTAAGAAAAATTAGTAGGCAAAAGGGAAAAGAAGGGGAATATTTGATAGGCAATCAAGTCAGGTTTATAAAAGAAAAAAATAAGAAACAAGGAAATTTAAGTCAGAACATCTTCTCTACAATCTCTTATTGGCAAGGAATATGAATTAAGTTGTCTTAGGATCCGGATATAGAAAACAGTAACATTCACTTTTCCGGTAGGCAATGAACCATTAACCCGGGAACAGAGCTCTGTACAGTTTAGCTTAATAGATGCTAATATTGGAGTACAAGGAAACAGTATGCTTTAGTCTTCAGCTTAAAGCTAGTCTGATAACCATTTTTGTTTTATCAAGTAAAAGTATTTTCATTCAAAGCTAGTCTATAACCATATAGAAGGAAAGCTAGAAACATCAACATTATTACTCGAAGAAATAGAGAAAATGTTTACATTAGTTGACATCATTTACTAAAGCCAGAATGCACTAAATTGACAGTTCCTTTGATAGCACAGAGAGCAGGCAACAAGTCATAATCACTATATGCAGCTAGGGATCAATCACAAACCCTCCAAGGTTCAAGAACCTGGATCTCTAAGTCAAACCTTCACAAGCAAATAAGGACAGGATTTCATTCTATTATGAAACACCATTCTAATGGAAGAAATGAGCTTCCAACCAAGACCTAATTGCAGTGGACAGAGTACTTATAATCTTTATCACAACCTCTGGTATTTCAAATTTTATGTTGGGCATATATCTCTTCCTTTTGCACTATGTACTGTTTGGCTCTTAATTGATCTATAGGGTGTATTTTCCCAAAGATCCATGGAAGGGAAAGTATTATGGCACTTAGTTGTAATGAAACATTGAACAGGTGTAGAGAAGAGCAAGGAATCATCAATCATACCCAAACCAGCCACAAGGTTGAAAATACAGCAACACTTTATCCCCTGTCGTCAAGTTCGTCAATATCATCTCCCCAGGAGAATCGATCCATGTTCGCCCAAATATAAGATTGTGAACTTTTGTTGGAGGCGGCACCAAATCTAGGACAACACCAGACTTCTTCAGTGTGAGTCTTGACCTGCACACAATAAAATGAACAAAAGATCAAGATACAGAAGGACTTGGTCTGCAATTTGTGACACACGTGAGCATTTCTTTTAGCTGGAACCAGAAATAGGGGCCAGGCTACTGTTAAAATTATCTCCTAATTAATCACAGAGTGGATATGTAACACAGAGAAAAAAAATAGTGGAAAAAACTGATGATCTCCAGATGTGTAAAGTTTGTGGATGCTGTCTTTTCAGCTATACTTCAGGAACAGGTCGCAAAAAGGCAATCAACTCATGGATGGTTAGCTGTCAACTAATATATCTGAAACATTATCCTGCATGCTCTAGTCAACATTTCTGCTACATCCTGAAGTTCACTAAATAGTTCTAATTCTACAGTAAAGCAGCACTCAGACTTGGCAAAAACAGAAGGAACCATCATCCAGTCAGAAGTAAAAATACCTGTTACACAAACATGGACATGTTTCAAACAGACCCAAGAGGATAAATAAAGATGCTTCTCTTTTAAAGTCCCCCAAAAGAGACTGCCAAACTCCTTGTGTGATTCATTGAAGAGCTATTAACTTCTTCCTCTCCAGAATTTTGGGTGTTTTAAGGTTTTCTTAAGGTCTTATCAACAAAACTACTACGTATGCTCTTTTTTTTAATGACAGAAAAAAAAAACTATGTATGCTCTCTTAAACAGAAAATTGACATCCTGATAAATAAGAAATTATTCAATATAATTGGTCCAACCTGCCAAGTGGATAGACTTCAACTGAGTTCCCCAAGAATTTAGATTTCACCTTTGAGGTGATATCATATTTGAAATGTTCGTTTTCTGCATGTGCTGCACCAATTGGGGGGTGATGACAAACCTGATACAGTACAAGACTTAATATCATGAGCACAAAAAGTAATAATAATGATTGAAATCTCACAAGGAAATAAAGGACAAGCTGAAATGTGATCCCGGGAAAGAATTCACTCTACAACTCACCTGCTCAGCAATAAATGTGATTCCAGCATGGTTAACAAATTCATAAGTTTCACCAAGAATGGGGTTGAAAGGCTTCCATGTGCGTTGTAAGGCATAGTATACAGATATGAACCATGTTGCTGGAAAATCAAATTGTTCGTTGTATCATACTTAACGAGATAGTGAATTCAAAATAGGAGTGATGCTAAGCATTATGGTAGTAGATTGTTTACCGGCATATACTAATCTCATGTGTGGGTCCTCGCACTCATCTGCCAATTCCAGTAGATAGGAGTATTCCATCAACTGTAAATAGAATTGCTACATCAGTATAATCCTCACCAAAAAATTAAAACAAAAATACAGCAGGACCCTGCAAGCCTGCAATTAATTGAAAACACACCTCTGCCATTTTTTGAAGGTTTGTCATAGGCTCACAAATAATAACTGGCAACGTCACCAGAGAGGTAATATCAGCACCTATGTACTTTTGCATCATTTTCCAATAATTATCACGATCCTGCAAAAACCTCAGAAGTGTGAATGCACCCAACAAAAAATCTACACTTGTGACTTGCCCAAAATAAATAATTGGTGCTGCTACTCCTTTAGTTGTCCAACTTTTCTGCTCCTACTTAGTTGTCCAATGACAAAAGTTGGTTAATCATTAAGAATCAGAAACTATTCATTTTGAATTTATAACTAAGTTAAATATAATCGCCATAGGAGTCAAATGTGGCAAAGGAAGGAGAAACCGGCTTTAGCGTTAGCACTCATCCAATCGCTTGTTTCTCCAGTGAAGAAAGGTCTAGCATAAAATTTTCTTATCCTTGATAGAAGCTCCATCTCTGTACTTACCACCCAGAAACTAGCATTTACACGAGTAAATAGCTTTCGAAGGAATTTTGTGTTAATTATCAATCCCAAAGCCAACAGCATACATCTGTATCTGCTGAGC